ACAGCCTCGGTGGTTCAATGGGCTGCTCCTGGGATCGGAGGATGTCCTGCGATCCCAGGAGCAGTCCATTGAACAAACGAGGCCGCGGGTGGAAGGAGGCCTCCCTTTAGCCACAGCCTCGGTTGAAGACTTCTCCAATTCCAGGACCAACTCAAGGAACGTCCTTGGCCGCAGCTAAGAGGACGCCTCCTTTTAGCTGCAGCCTCGGTTCTTTGAGCTGGTCCTGGAATCCTCTGACCCCAGGATCGTCCCAAGGAAAGCTTTCCTTGGACCGACCCTAGGGAGGGAGGTGTCCTCCGATCCCAGGAGCAGCCCATTGAACAACCGAGGCCACGGCTGAAAGGAGGCCTCCTTTTAGCCACGGCCTCGGCCATTCCTTAGGCTGGTCCTGGGAGCCGAGGTACCGGTATATTCACCTTATAAGACGCACCAACTTCCCCACCCCCGTTTTGGGGAAGAAAAAGTGCATCTTATATGGCGAAAAATACGGTAAAACATCTCTTTTACACACTGCTGATCTCACTCACCTTGAAGCTTTTCATATGATGAGGAGTGAGACTGAGCAGCTCATTGCATTACCTTTTAAGTCAGCTACAGCCGAATGGGATGCAGCCGGGACGTGGCATGGAGGTGGGAATTATCACACTGTAATTCACCACCGAATCTACCAGGTGACTGCATTGTGCTCAGCCAGCCCATTTTTGAAAACAGAAAGCTCTCGAGTTTTAATGGCAGCTGGCTGAGCATAGCTCGGACCCAGTCTGCAGTCGCCCAGCAGATTTGGTGGTGAATTTCACTGCGATAATTCCTGCCTCCATGCTATGTCCCAGCTGCATCCCGTTAGGGTGCAGTTGACTTAAAAGGTGATGTGATAAGCTCCCTATTTCACTCATATACAGTTATGGCTGTTCACTGCCCCATGTTGGGAGCCTCCAGCTATAACTGCTCCTGCATTCATACAATCTGGCACAGGGATTTCTCTTGCACTGTTTTTTACCCCATTCCTTCCCCTGTCATATAGAATTCCCTTTGCATTTCAACTGAGTGGAATACACTTCCCCCTCCACTGTTTTACCTGTAAGGACTGTATATTTTCAGCTGTTTCATCCATACTGATGGAGAAAAGCCCTTTATTAACCATGCACTCCTGAAGCAATTAAAGCATGCACACACCTCCTTTTCAGTTCCTTTGCTCATCATTCACAACCGTTTGAAATGCACACTTTCTGACTGTGCCAAACCATGCTGCATTAAGGACAACTATAGTCTTTCCAAAGTGTAGTAAAGCAATAGATGTTCTAGGTGACCTGGAACTGGTGCCTTTATATAGCAACACACACACTATTATCATCTCCATTGATTTAGTGTATATTATGTTTCCTCTTTGGTGGTGCTTTCTTTAATTAGGCTTCGGCAGTCTCTTTTTCAGCACTAGGCTTAGGATTTGAGTTTACCTCCTCCTCCTCTCAAACACTCCTAGCTCTCTCCACTTGGAAGCCAGCAACTTCTTGATTTTACAATTCCTCTTTTGAATACTTGATCTGTGTTCCTGTATTCTTAATCACACTTGCAAGTGTGATTAAAGACCAATTGCTTATGATATTACTTTGGAGGCCTGAAGATCATAATCATCTTTTGGTTCTTAGCATCATTTACAAACCTGGGAAAACCAGGATTCCACCCCCATTGTGTGTTATAACAAAACAGATGACGAACAACAAAGATAACATCCCCATGTCGATTCCTTGTAAATATTTATCAATCCAATCCTTTACAGGCATGCACAGAAGGGATTTTCTCTTTCAAGCCCTAGAAGATTTTTAAGATGCCTGCTAATGGATTTCGGCTCCACGTCTGTGCCATTTTATTATTTTAATTAGCAACTGAAGAATTGTGTTGGGAACTTAATGGATATCTGAGTACTTTGTAGTTTTCCATTTCATTATAGAAGCATTTAAAATTAGTACAAAATGTTCTCCCATTTTGAATTTGGTGATGGAAATGTACTGTTCAGGAACTGAAAAAAATCTTCCCTTATGGCTGTGAATCTTTTGTTTGTTCTCTATTATTTGTTTTGGTGCCATTTTGCCTCCTGGAGTGATCCCAGATAATCAGAGAACACATCGTGAACATAATGATATCACTGCATAGCATGTTTGGCAATGTAACAGCTAGGAGCAGCTTGCAAACCAAGACAAAGGACACCTTTACTCAAACATTTCAGGCGCTAATCCTGTTCAAACAAGCCACCCAAGGCTACAACATTAACAAATACAAACCAGGCTAACTGAATATGACAGCAGTGCTTCCTATTCAGGTCATGAGACAACCTAGCTAAATGGTCTCTTTCATATTGGTGATTACTTTCATGCAAGTCTCATTTCGGTGAGACCTCCAAGTAAAATAAAACATAAATTAGAAACATAAAATAGAAATTGGCCAAAATATCGGACTGTCATTTAAAAAGCACCATTTAAGGCATTATCGGGCATTTTTGAAGTTCTTTTACATGTATGATGAAATGGCTTAACCAGTGGTTTTCAAATTTTGGGCCTCCAGATGGCAGAGAAGCAATGTAGAAATAGTTTTAACAAATTAATAATACATTAATTAGAGTCATTAAGCACTGGGCACTGCAGAATCCAATAGTCCAGATCCAAATGCAGTGGGCCGGGGGGGGGGAGTATGTGATGGTATTCTTTGAGAGTGGAAAAGACTCCTGCAAATTCCAACGTTAACATTTATTAAAAAGGCAGGGTTGCTAGCCTTTTGGGGGGAGCTGCCTCTTTTGTCACCTGCCTCCCAGGAGCAGTGAGAGTCTGCAATGAATGGTTTGACCACAGAGAAAGACAGCCAGGATAGGTTGCCCACCCCTTTTTACAGACAGAGCTACTGCCTCATCAACAATGGGGACTGGTGTGTTTGTCTGGTTAGCAACACCTTCTTTATCAAGAAGATCCAGAAAACTATATCTCAGAAAAAGCTGAAACTTGATATTGACAAAAGTGTGAATTGTGGCCACTGTTTTGCCCCCTCCCCACAACACAGGTTGTCTGGCTTGTCTGTGCTCGTTGCATTTGTCATCTTCTACTGTTTCCTGGGAACAATTGGCAGTTCTTACATTAATCAAGTGCATATCTTGTACTGAAGGGTTCTAAAGTTCTTTTGGGAGATGTTGCCTCATTTAAAGAGGATGCCATTGTTGTTGGAAACAAGTATTGCTTGATACTTATTCAGCACTACTCCATTATGTCCTGAGTGTAATCGATAGAAATAATCTGCATTATGAGTTGAAGCAGAACATGTAACAAGAAGGCAGCATCTGCCTTCTCGTTAATTGTTGTTAGTATTGTGGGCCTTCAAGTTGTTCCCGACCTATGGCAACTCTAAGGTAGACCTATCATGGGTTTTTTTTTTGGCAAGATCTGTTCAGAGGAACCAAAGTTCCCCTTGCCTTCCCCTGAGGCTGAGAGCATGTGACTTGCCCAAGGTCACCCAGTGGGTTTCATGGCTACTAGGAATTGAACCTTGGCCTCTAGAGTCACAATCCAACACTAAACCACTAAACCACACTGGCTTTCATTAATTAATTAATAAAACTTAGCAAGTAAAGTTGGACCATGGTTTGGTGTTCAGATATTATTATTATTATTATTATTATTATTATTATTATTATTAGCAGCAGCAGCAGCAGCAGCAGCAGCATTACTGCTATTATTTTAAATTTGTATGGAATCATTCCAGTAAAAATACTATAATTTTTCTGAGACATGGAGTAGGATGTTATCAATATGCTGATGATACTCAAATATTCTGCTCCATGTCTCAGTCAACTACTATGATGGCAGATGGCGGTTCTTCCCCCCTTGAAGCGGTAATGGTATAGATGAGGAAAAACCGACTCAAGCTGAATCCAAACAAAACGGAGGCACTTACGGTAGGGGCCCCCGAACCAGAGATTGGGTTGCGACTGCCAGTTCTTGACGGGGTCACGCTCTCTATTAAGGACTTGCAGTCTGGGGGTGCTCCTAGACTTGTCACTTCACATGACAGATCAGGTGAATGCGACAGTCAGGAGTGCCTGTTATCAGCTTCGGCTGATACTCCATTCCTGGAAATAAAGGACCTAGAGACCACAGTACATGTACTGGCAACCTCACGACTTGACTTCTGTAATGCACTCTACATTGGGCTACCCTTATACCTAACTCAGAAACTGCAATTAGTACAAAGCATGGCAACCAGGTTGATCAGCGGAAGATCTAGGAGTGATCATATTACACCGATTTTAAAATCCCTCCACTGGCTGCCCATTGGTTTCCGAGCACAGTATAAGGTGTTGGTAATGACCTTTAAAGTCCTACATGGCTTGGGCCCAACTTACCTAAAGGATCGCCTTCTTCCATATAATCTGCCCCGTTCCCTTAGGTCCTCTGGGGGGAAGCTTCTTCAATCAACAAGAACCAGATTGATGACAACCTCCCAGAGGACATTTTCCACCTCTGCTCCCAGACTCTGGAATGCCTTACCGGAAGAGATCCATCAGATATCCAGCTTAGATGGCTTTAAAAAAGCCATCAAGATGGATCTCTTCTGGCAGGCTTACCCAGAAGAAAGCTAGTTGAGACCTGATCCTCCCCCATTTGATGCCCCTTTTCCCCCTAAGACAGTTTTTCCGAGGGGTTAATTTGCCCTATTGTAATTTGGGGGTGCTTTATAGCTTTATTGATTTACTGCTTGATTATTTTATTAATTTACTATGTTATTGTCTTATTGTTGTTTAAATATTAGATTTTATGCTGCTGTGATTTAATTGTAATTTTAAGGGGGGGTCTTAAAATTACAATTAAATCACAGCAGCATAAAATCTAATATTTAAACAACAATAAGACAATAACATAGTAAATTAATAAAACAATAAATGTTACAATTTGTGGGATTGTACTTTTAATGTAAGCCACCTTGATAGCCTCAGCTAAAGGCGGGGTATAAATAAATTTATTATTATTATTATTATTATTATTATTATTATTATTATTTGAGTATGTGCATTTACTTATTTCTCTCTTCCCTTCAAATTTGAAGACACTTGATGAGCAACTTCAAATAAATATTTGATGCACTTTAAATCTTGAGTTAAGTCAGGAGGGAGTCTGTGGCAAACGAGAATATTTAAAGGGGGTCCCTGGTAAAGAAAAGGTTAAGAACCACTGCTCTACACCTCTACTCAGAGGCAAGCCATATCGCATTCCACAGCATTTGCTCCCAGGTATGTGTTTATAGAAGTGCAGCCTAAGAATATTAACTTCTGGATGTTCCCAAGATTAACTCAGAACCAACCTTTCCCACACAAATAGAATTTTATAATCCTAACAACCAGCAGGGACTGTCAAGAACATTACTTAAACTGGAATAAACCAACTCATAAGTAAATAGGTAATTTCTAGGGAAATAAGGATAAACCTGTCCCTGGCAGAGATTCACATGTGAACTTTGGTTCAACTGTAGCAGGATTCTGGACAGTAGCATGCACACACACAAACACACATACACACTAATGTATGTCTTGCAAATGGATCTATCTTTTTCTAGGCCAAACAACTGAGAACAGGTGGAAGCAATTTTATTTTGAAGGAAATATCTAAAGTGACTTATAAGGCAAGGTATATATTTTCTACCCACAAACCCATGAGTGTTTCTCTGCCTCACATAAGAGACATGAAGTGTATTTCTGTGGGCGATGGCCTGGCCTTGATTTTTATAGGTTAGGAAAAACAACTTTGTGGCTCAAAATGCTTTCAAACATGTTTATTTACTCTCACAGTGTTGGCAGCTTCAGAAGCCAGACTGGAGGGGAGTGGGGTACTTGTATGATACCACATTCACAGCATTTTTATTTATTTATTTACACTATCAAGTACTCTTGTAATAATAACTTCACCTCTTTTCAGGTTATTCACTACATTATAAACATACCACTACATCTCAATTTTATTTCCAGGCTTTCAAGATATCATCAGTTTTATATATGTATCTTGTCCATAGGCAACCTAAAGGTAAAGGTAGTCTCTTGACATGAATGTCTAGTTGTAACCGACTGTAGAGGCCAATGCTCATCTCCATTACTAAGCCAGAGAGCCAGCATTGTCTGAAAACTGCTTTGGTGGTCATGTGGCCAGCATGACTGGACTGAACAATGTTACCTGCCCACTGAAGTGGTACCTGTTTATCTACTTGCATTTCCATGCTTTCAAACTGCTAGGTTGGCAGAATCTGGGACTAGTGATGAGAGCTAACCCCATCATGTAGACAACCTAGTGCCCTATAAATTGTTTGGACAACAATTCCCAAAAGTCTCACAGAGCAGGGGAGGCTGGAGGCTTCTGTTTCAACAATACAGGGAATTTGCCACAGGTTTTAGTCTTTAAAGGAGCTGTCCATGGTGCTGAACATATTTTGGGAACAGAGTTCAGCAATCTTGGATAGATCCTTTACAGCTCCAAAACATGGAAGCAGATGCCTCACCCCACTGACATGGAAGCCACTCATATGCCCAACAAAACAAAACAAAAAAAAAACCAAAACAAATAATAGTCCATGATTATAGGAAACAAAGTCTAAAACCTGACTCTGTTTTTTCCTCTGGTTGCTAAAAAGAGTGAGAATTTTGCAGTTGGAAACATTGATATAGCGTTGAATTCTGATGTTCCAGAGAAGTCCCAGATTTCATTTAAAAGAACCAAAAACATTTGGGATATTTTGGTGAACAGCAATTTCAGGGGACAGAAACAAACATCTATGAATACTGTGATGGGTGCAACCTGACCCACACCACCATTGCATGGCCATTTTGTCTCTTGTAGTTATACTTCTAAAATGACTGAATTTATAAACCACAGTAACAAACACAAGTAAACATTTGGTCCACTTTCCCACTTGCAATTGCAGTTTTGTTATCTATGCTATGCAAAGCAAGTGTCCTAAGATCTATGAAGGGAAAACAAGAAGACCTCTCAAAAATGCATAGGATCACAACCTTCAAATATAAGGAGGGGAAAAACAAATGTTTCCTTAGCAAGTCATTTCTGGGAATATCATCATCCTACAGTAGACCTCAGATTTTGGCCTACAGAGAAAGTAAATGATAGCAATGACAAGACTCTATTAAAGAAAGAAGCAGAGTGAATTTTAAAATTAAAATTTGTGGTTCTTGGGTGATTAAATGAAGAGATTGATTTCATCTCACTTTTGTAAATTCACTCAAATCTTTTTCTAGCTCAGTTGCATGATGGCTTTGTCAAGGTGATCTCTCTCCCTTTCTTCCTCCCATACCTTCTGCCAACATAAAAAAAATTGAGACTAATTCACTGTTTTCTGTCTGGCAAATGTAAAGAGATTTTCAGCTTCAGAAAGTTCTAGATAGATTTCATATTGGTATCTACAGGATTTAAGCAGCATACAAAGGTTAGAATATATTTATGATATATTATGTATGTCATATGATTATATGTTGTCCTTTTAATTTTATATTACTTTTTATTTATATGTTTTTTATGTAGCCCTGAAGAGCGCCATTGAAATATATATACAGTCCAAAATGCAGTGAGCTTTTCCCAAAATAAAACAGCCATCCACTGAGCAGTTGGAAATGTGTCTTTTTTCCCTGTAGACTTATTGATCCAGAGTTAACACAGCTGCTTGTATTTTTGAACTCTCCTTGAGTGTGTGGCTACAGGGCCATCATGAGGAGCACCTGCAATTCAAAATATACTGATGTACCACTGCTTGCTACTGAGCATCACACAGTCATCACTCCTTTTATTAATACATTTGTGAAAAATGAAGAAAAGAAAAGTCATGTGCATTTCTGAGCTTTCTACAGGAGTGAAGCAAGGAGACTGTCATGATGAATTAGATTGCTCTGTACAAATCAACTAATGGGAACCTGATTCAACAGCTAAAAATCCTTTAGATTTACAACTACATTTGGCTGAACAAAATCTGATGTGTCGGGTATATTGGATACCATTACCCCAGTTTAGAAAGAAATTGTCTACTTGAACGAAATGTTGATGATATAACACAGTAAGGTTCCCCTTTAGTATATGATGTGGCTGTGTTCAGAGGTTACCTCTTTTGGGTTGCATGTATTATAGTGTATTAGTTTTATATTGAAAAAACTTTGACATTTACACACACACAAACACATACACATTATTATTATTATTATTATTATTATTATTATTATTATTATTATTGCTATATTTTCTTATATCCCGCCTTTCTCCCAATATAGGAACTCATATAGGAATCCAAACAAGTATAAAACAATACAATTTAAAAACAGTAAAACAATATTAAAATATATAAATATAAAATTAAAAACAATTAAACCATTTTAAAAGTTAAAAGAGTTATGAGTTAAAATTGAATGTTATAATATAAACCTTAAAATATAGCACAACATTCCCAGACCTTATTGATTTTCAAAGGCCTGCCAACAAACACTTTACCTGCCAGCTGAAGGACAACAGGGATGGCATCATCCTGGCCTCCCTAGGAAGGGAGTTCTGAAGC